CATTTTGACATCAACACTCATAGCCCATTCACCCTAACACCAACCTAAACATATAATTGGCCTAAACCAAACACAAGACTACCTTCATTTGACTTTAACCACACATAAGACTTTAATCAATTTTATCATCCTTTCTTTGATAAATTTAATAAAGGCTACAAACAAAATGAACAATACAATTCTTCCCAAAAAATTCCAAAACTATACAATATTTTTCAAGTTTTTCAACCATCTGAAAAATACCAACCATATGAGTTGTTACATGTGACAACCCCCTGGTGTTATGGGCACTCACAAGGAAAAAGATAGTGAATCGAAAAAGATGATGAAGTCATTGAACTCTATATCCACAAAAATTATAATAAAGAAACATGGCTAGCAAAACAAAAGAATTTTAAGCAACTTTACATAAATTGAAATTCTTTTTATAAGGAAATAACAAAATGAATCAAAGTTGTGTAAATGTTCAGTATAGATAGAAAAAGTTTTGTCATGAACATAGGAATTGATGTCCTAGGTTATAATTTTTCATATACTTTATTAGGCTTTTCAACTATGTGTACGAAGGTTTGGGTATTACATATTATACATAACTTCATGACAGAATTCAAAAATGTAGAACTGCAAAATAAATTGTCAAAATGGATATAAGTATATATTTCACAACATATACATTTTACTTACATTTTTTTAATCATAATAATCATTTTTCTTTCAACTTGTTTAGTTTATGCTTTAAACAAGTCATCTTTAGATTATTACCATAAAGAAATATTTTTATGTAAATAGAAAGACACTGACATGGGTCGATAGTATTCTAAGCAAAAATAAATCGGACATATAATGGAGGGAGCATTGGAGTTATATGACAATCAATTTTTGCAGAGTCCGTTAATTTTGTTTTTGAAAGATACACAAATCTTTCAATATTTTTGGTTCAAACAACATATTTTAGATTAGAAGAAATATTTGCAATAGAGAAACAAAAATGGTTTCATCGAAATACTAAAACAAAAGTTTCATCTAACTATAAATCTTAAGAAAATATAACAAAGAATATTAAAAATAAGTGTTTAATATTTTTTATTTTTTAATTGACCATTTTTAAAAGGTGTTGAGTAATGTGCATTCTCCGACTGAATCTTATTTATTGAAAAAATTAAGACTAGATATAAAGTGATTGCAAATATCTGATTTCTATGAAGGATTAAATATCTTCAATTGTTTTAAAGGTCTGGGTCTAAGTGGCATAGGAAAGGTGACAATAACTCTGTCAACTTTCACGCTTTTGTAAAAAGTAGAGGTAGACAAAATGTTATCTTAGTTATAAAGGTCGTCGAAGATTGGATTGAAGGAGTGTCTAAGATTAGGCAAGAGGTTGTTAAGCATTTCATTGATATTTTTAAAGAATTGATTTTTTTTATAGACATTGTCTCAATGGTGTTGTCTTCCACTCTCTTTTGAAAGACAATAATCTTGTTTTGACTATTCTCTTTATACTTCACGAGTTAGATTGTGTGGTGTCTCATTGCAAGGGTAACAAAAGTTCAAGTTCATATGGGTTCAGCTTCTCTTTCTTGAAAAGGTTTTGAAACCATGTTAGAGAATATATGGGGATCATGTTTGATCAATTTCATCATTTTGCATATCTATCTCGTAGTTTTGAGTCCTACTTTGTGACTTTGACTCCCAAAGTTAAAATTTCCTCTTATTTAGGTGAATTGAAACTGATTTTTTATGGGATCTTTGTATAAGTTGATGGCTAAAGTGTTGGTCATTAGACTTAAGCTGGTGATGGACAAAATTATTTTCTCTAATCAATCGGGTTATCTTAAAGGGAGAATGTTGGTTGGTGGAGTGGTAGTTGTCAATAAGGTGTTTCATTTGGCCAATAAATCTAAGAGATTTTTCCTTATTTTAAAGGTGGATTTTGAGGCGTATGACTAAATTAGTTGGAGCTTTATGTATTATATGCTTATAATATTTTGTTTTAATGATAAGTGGGAGCTTGAATGAGAGCTTTTGGGTTCGCTGGTAACCTTGTAGTGTTGATTAATGTGTATCCAACTCAAGAGATTAGCATCCAAAGAGGTTTGAAGTAAGTGGACCCACTAACTCCTTTCCTTTTCTTGCTTGGTGGCTTAGTTGTTAGGGCTGACGAGATTCTTCTTTACTCTGAGTTTATGTTGGATTCGTCTAATTAGTTGTATCTCATCTTCCTTAACCGTGAGATTGAAACCTTTTCTTTTAAGTACCTTGGTTTGCCGGTAAGTGTTAATCATAGGTTGGAACCTAGTTGGGATCTTTTAGTCAATTTGTTGACTAAAAGGCTTCTTTATGAGGTGTTGTGGTTCTTATTAATTTTGTGCTTAATGTTATTCTCGTCTTCTTCTTATCCTTTTTGAAGATGCTTGTAAAAGCTTATAAGAAGTTTGTTAAGTTATAGAGAATGTTTTTTTAGAGAAGGGTGAAGGGGAGGAATATAAGATTTTTTTTTGGATTAAATGAGATAATCTTTGTAAGCTTAAGAGTAAAAGGGGTTAGGAGTTAGGGACCTCCAAATGGCTAATCTAGTCATTTTGACTAAATGAAGATGGAGATTGTTTACATGTCTTTGGGATTGTGGAATGATATTCATGTAGTTAAGTATGACACTTTAATCATTTCCTCCCTTCAAGGGGGAAGGACGTTGTAATTTTGATCTTCTTCTATTTGGTGGAAAGGTGTGTCTCTCCTTAGGTCCAAAGAGGAAGACCCTTTTAATTGATTTGTTGATGGTGTTCTTAGAAAAGTATGGTCGGACCTCCGTACTTCCTTTTGGAAGGACCCCTGGTTAGGATTCACTCCCTTAAAGTCCAATTTCTCCGGTGTGTTTGCTAACTTCATTCAATCAGATAGGCTGGTGGAAGAGATCAGTTAGGAGATTAACTGAGACCTAATTTGGGATCTCATATAGAGGAGACCCTTGTTTCTTAGATAATTACATGTGTTTGATAATCTTCTCTCCCTGCTTCAAGGTGTTATTCTTTCAAAATATAGATAAGTGGTTTTGTAAGCATACAAGAAAGTTTTTTTGTTGTCTCTGCTTATCATATTCAATTTGCTAGTTCCTTGCCGACTCTCACGGTTGAAAACTTGATTGTTCCCCTTATTTGGGGTTGTTGAACTCCTCTGAAAGTGTTGGTCTTCTCTTGACAACTTTTGTATGATAGATTCCATTCTAGAGATAACTTGTTTAAAAAGGGGATGATTTTTAATCCTAATGAGATTTCTTGTCCTTTATGTAGGGATTCACTTGAGCTAGTTTCTCATATTTCATTTGCGAGTTAGTCCTGATGGTGGATATAAGATCTTCCAATCATTAGGTTGGCAAATAGTTTTCCATAGTAATCATAAGTTTTTATTAAATTTTTCTTTCGTTAAGCGGTAAGGTCAAGTTTAGGGGTGATTTTGTTATGACCTGACACACTATAGTTTGATCTATTTAAAGAGCTAGTAATGATGTCATTTTTAATGGTATTACTAAAATTGTGAAAGATAAGGGTATTTTTTTTCTTACAAATGACTTTTAAGTAAATCAAAAGTGAACTCATACGCTTACTTGTTTGGCTTCAGAATCATATCTTCTACCTTAATCAATAGCAAATTGAGTATTTGACTTAATTATGAGGCAAGGTGATGGTTTGTGATTTTGTTATGGTGACTAAATCAAGGGTGTATTCATATATGTATTTGTTTGTTTGGTTTCAAAATCTTATCTTCTACCTTAATTAATAGTAAAATGAGTATTTGACTTAATTTTAAGATAAGGTGATGGTTTGTAATTTTGTTATTCTCTTGTGAATTATTCTCGCAATGAGTGATCCAATTAACTTTTTCACACAAATAAAAAATAAAAAAATAAATGAACGAGTGTGATATTTTACTAAAATACCTTTATCATATATTAAAAATAATATTAATTAAAAAATAAAATTAAAAAAATATATATTAAAAATTGAAATAAATCATGAAACCCTCTTAAATCCCTCATTGTGGGGTTTTTACCTGTCTAAATATATCATTTAGTCATTAAAAAACAATTAAAGACTCGTTAAAAAACAGTTTCAGATGTGGCCAACACCCGTCAAATGTATCAATTTAATTGACACCACCTAATGTACCAATTTGTCACACATTTTCATGCATCAATAACTAATCGTGTAAAAAGTGTATTGGAAAACACTTCAGTCCTAATAGAACTTGTAGATTTATAGGATAGAGTTCAGTCTAACCAAAATTTCAAAAAATAAATAATTCCATTCTAAAAGAAAAATCATACATGACACGTAATCAATATCAACAGAAAACAATAAAAAACACTAACAAACTGATGCTGACATTTTTTAATGATGCAACATATTACTTTCCATATTCGGCTCAAATCAGCGATGTACTCATAAAATTAGAAAAATGGCTCAAATCAGCGATGTACTCATAAAATTAGAAAAATGGCTCAAATCAGCGTTGTCCTGATATATTTAGAAAATATTCGGACTTGTAATGTAACTATAAATTAAAAATATATAGTAGATATAAATGGTAAGTGTTCAAGTTCAATATGATCTAGATCTAATACATACTCTTACACCAAAGAACTTTTGCAAATACCATTCAAAGTGTCGGATTTTGTCAAAGTTAATGAAACACTCAAAGTATTGAATTTTGTCAAAGTTAATGAAACACTGCTAGAACCTCAGCCAATGAATTTCAACAATTTAGGAAAATCTAAGTGAAATAAGAAGAAACTGAAATATTATATAAGAGGATTCCATGAGACAAACCTGGCTAGAAACAAATCACCGCCATTCATGCATTAAATAAATCTCAATTATACAATATCCTAATGTTAAAAGTCAACACAGCAAAGTGGAAACAAACGTCTCCTACTTAAACTACCACTGAATGGTACAGGAGGAAAAATTCATTCGACAATCTTTATAACTGATTTTCAAAGGTTTCTAAGTGCTTGGAGTAGCTTCTTTACCCACTGTTGTTGCCTCGCCAGCACTCTTGCCAGCAGCATCTTGTTCACTACCTATCTTTCCAGCATCTTGTTCACCAGGCTTTGACTCTTCTTGACCTATAAATTTGCAACCACAGGTTAGTGCACAAAATTACAAAATCTACAAATATCTTGATCATGTTTTACAAGTGCAACATTTCTTTCTATTTCACGTATTCATAAAAAGGATTCTAAACACACACAAGAGCCATAAACTGTATTCAAAATAAATCTTCTTTTCAATATATCCCTTATCCAAGTAGTGTCTCCTAAAATTGAAATTGATAACCCACAATATTACAGATAAATCTTCTATACACAAGCATATTATATTAACATAACAAACCACAAAAAACCTGAGTATAAGAACTAGCTTAATCCACTTCTAATTCCAAAAATCATGCATACGATATCCTATGCAATGAATAAATAGACAAGAGAGACATCAACCATAAAAATGTAATTATTCATGCATACCTTCATCATCACTCTCATCAATATCATCAGCACCACCCATTCCACCAAATTTCTGCAGCACAAGTATGTAATTAAGTATTTACATACAAACATATATAAATCAATAGAAGAACAGCAAATCAACTGAAAACATCACATACAGAGAAGTCCATTCCTCCCAATCCTCCCAGTCCTCCCAGTCCTTCCAGTCCCCCCATTCCTCCTAATCCGCCCATTCCACCCATTCCACCCATTCCTCCCATTCCTCCCATTCCTCCCATTCCACCCATTCCTCCCATTCCTCCCATTCCACCATCACCAAATTTCTGCAGCACAAAAAGTAAATACATTATATTACATCAATAGAAGAACATTTAATCAATTGAATACATCACACACGTGCAGAATTCCATTCATTCCATTGATCATGGCACCCCCCACTTAAATGATAAATAAAATAGACAATGCTAACAAGTGCACTAAATATAGCAACTTTGTATTGTAAATTGTGAATTCATTTTCTTGTTAAGTTAAGTTGTTTATTCAATACATAACTCCCATTAGCTGATTCCTAACATGTTCCCTTAGGGCTAAATAAACAAGACCCTAAACAATAATAACAAAACGATACAATTAAGAAAAAGATAACATATTGCATACCGAGAAATCCATTCCTCCCAAGTCCACATCACCACCTAACCAACAAAAAATCAAGGCAATTCAATCAAATTTCCAATTTCCAATAAAATACATTGTCTTCCTTTGTACATTAAAAAACCTACAAGACAAAAATACATACCTTCATCTTCGTCTTCATCAACCCATTTATCCCAATCTACTTTCACATAATGTGGAGCCTTGCCTTCTCCACGCAGCAACCTCTTCCACCATCCACTCTCAGCCTTCTGCACTACAGAGAATACGCTTCGCACTCCTACACTGATTTTGCTCTCCTGCAACCAAAGAGTTGTCAACAACACAACACATTAAGCACAAAACAAACCATATTTTTGCGAGCAAAGCATAAACACAACCACCATATAAACGTTCATATCAATGCCAACGATGTTATTGATAATATGCAAAATTAGAGGAAATTTTCTCACCTCAACATTAACCTTATCAAAGAGCTCCAATTTCAGTTCATACTTATTGTCTCCAGCGCCAGCACTGGCAGAAAAGATAAAATCACCCTCTGGGGTAAGATCAACTTTAGCATCTTTGGAATCAGCCAATAGAACTGTGATGTAGACCTTGTCTACTCTCTGAGCCCACTTAACCTCTGGATGACGACTGCACCATAAAACAAAAATCATAATCAACAGATCCATTTCAAATCAACTCCAACAACAAAAATAGTAACAAATTGAACGCGAATCAGCCAAAACTATACATCAAAACGGAATCTTCCGAATAATTTTCAGCAGAGAATATAACAGATAGAAAACAAAACAATTTAACGATGAATACGCGATTGAAAGATTATATCATAAAATCAACACGGTAATTAGAGAGAAATGGGGAAAATGAGGTATGAGATCGGAGATGCGGGATTTGGGTACCTCATATTGGATTTGGTTGAAGAGGAAAAAGGTAGGTACCGTAAAACCCTAGTTCGTTCTTTCGTTGGAAAAAACCCCAAAAAATGACACTTATTGAGCTATCACTTTGGAAGAGTGGTATATATATTTATAAATAAACGTTGATTAGATGACACTTCAAGTATTTTCCTGCACGGAATATGCTGCTGAACTCGTCGTGGATTGGAGTACTGGACTCAGTTTTGTGGTGTCATTGACTTGGCCCAAATGTGTGGCTTTTATTTAAAACAACTTTCACTTTTGTTATTTGCACCTAAGAGTAGCAAGAGAATTTCTTATTATATCCTGCGTATTTTTTAAACACCATGCAAATTTTCTATCCCGTCTCTAATTTTCGAAGATATATTTTTGAACGCACTTTTTTTATATTTAAAAAAGACCATTCTAGATGACACTCCATGCATTTGCTAAAAATTTATTCTGGAGATATATCTTCGGAATCATACTATAATTATATTTTCGGAAAAAAACCAAACATAGAAACAATCCAAGATGAACTTTCTAAACATAAAACGAGCATTCATAACATAAAATTAGCATTACAATGATGATTTTAACAGAAAATTAAATACTACATTTCAATATCCCAGTATTTGTAGTGTCGCTTCCAACTCGAGCGGAACTTTCTTTTCGAAACCGGAAAACGTTCGCCACATCGCCATAATATCCGCTCGAGTATTGAGCTCGAATTTACTGAACACAATGTACCTTTCATTGTCAATCGAGGGTGAACGGAACTCAAGCTTGACAACTTTTTGTGTGTCTCCGTAAGGTATGAGATAGTGGATTTCGTCTATGATAACATCGAGGAAGGTGAGACCGGTGAGCTTGAACGTCCTCCGAGGTGTAGAGGCACCATAGTAAGAGACACTTGAGATATACCAACAAATGTTTATTTCACACATTTGAGATATTTTGAGTTTATGTGAAATATAACACAATAATACTCAAATTTATAGAATACATAATTCAATAAGGATCATTCATTGACTTTCATTCATACTTCGGATATATATCTTCGGAACGCGCCCCATTATCTTGTTCCAAAGATGCATCTCCGGAGCTTTCCCTAAACCACTCAAAAATAAAACAAATAAAAGAACCTTCCGTAGATGTATCTTCGGAATTTTTCCTGATACATTTTCAAAACAGAATAATATGACAGAGAGATGAGAAAGACCAAATATAAACCAAACACGCATAAAGATCAAATATGAATAATAAGTGAATATGTAACACTTCATTTATATTAAGACACACTTATATACAATTATTTGTCTGATTAAAAAAATCAAAACGAATTAAAACATGTATCGTCGGATAAATCTATAGGCAGTACCCCCTTTGACTTTTGTGCATTTGATTCCTTTTCAATGTTGTTCAATCTATCGAATTCTTGCATCCTTTCTATAAAATGATCCAGCCACGTCATGACATTTGCGGTTGTATGAGTCGTTTGTTCCGGTGATGTAGGTGGTATGGGGCATCCCGGTTTCACGTAAACTTGAATAAAATGACTTGATTTTGAAAGTCATCCAATACACATGATGCGATCATTTGGATTTTAGGGTGGTGCGTAGTGGAAAAAAGGTTTCCAAAAACCCATAACATGTCAAGTCAATGCACACCCTATCATATGCAAATCCAATTAGGTGACCCATATCTGGAAAGCTCATCCATTTTGACTTCGATGTTGGACCGCTCAAGAAAGAAACAAGTGACTCATAAACCGCGTCGATTTTTTTTCTTTGTACAATCACATGTATGCTTTCTTATGTGTCTTCAACTCTTGGATAAGTTGATGAAAGACTAGCGCATGACTATCTTCTCCCTTACCAAGTAAAGCCGAAATGACTCGGTAACCGCAATTACCGTCTCCCGCAACATTAACGATATGATCGATATACATGTGCATAAAAAATGGCATACCATCAATGAATGGAATATTCGATGGAAGTGACATCGGAGGTGGTTTGCTAATTCTAGCATCTTTAACAACATTTTTTTGAGATTTTGGAGTCGGTGAGTCGGAAAATACTTTGTCAACGTGTTCAAAAGTATGAAGGAGACCGTGTAGTCGAGTTGTTGTTCGGTGTAGGCTTCATTTTCTTCGGAGTACCTGATAACGCGAAATCGTATATATATATATATATATATATATATATATATATATATATATATATATATATATATATATATATATATATATATATATATATATATATATATATATATATATATATATATATATATATATATATATATATATATATATATATATATATTGACGTATAATTCAACTAATATTTGACTGGTTTCAATCCGATTTCGGGTTTTCTCCATGTTATTTGTCTGATATTTTGCAGGTATTTGAAGATCATGTCCAAACAAAGCAATATGAAGAAAAGAAGCAATTACAGATGAAATATGGACGAAAACCAGATGAAAACAACATGAAAAACAGCAGATGCGCATTTTGCTGCTGTGACGACCGTCACACACCATAACGACTGTCATGCAGGCAAAAACACAAAGCTTCATTTAACGTGCAAAAACCAGTTCCAAGTCCCAAATAATGGACCACTACTCCCTAATTTTTCTGACTCCAAGTCCACCTTCTGCAAATTATAACCGTTAGCATTTCACCTCTATAAAAGGGGAAGGAGGGGAGCTGAGAAAGGGAGCCGCATTAAGATAACGAAGTGCTGCCCAAATATTTTCCAGAGCAAATTTAGTTTTCAGTCTTGTTTTTGTTTCCTTTCCTTTTTTCCTGTATTCCATTTCTGCAATATTCATTTGTGCGCTCTATTGGTTTGAAGACACAATCCTGCCGACATCGTTGGGATTTGGCCAAAAGCCAATTGGATACGTTACAGGTTTTTATTATTTCGTTAATTGTAACTTTAATTCCCACCAGTATGAATGTTCTAAGTTTCTGCTTTTATTTACGCTTTACTTATTCCAAATCCATGTCTAGCTAAACCAGAGTGATCGGTATGTAATAATAATTCAGACGGGATTTGATAATAATCGGTTAAAACCTTTCTTTTTCAAAAGTTGTTTATGGCCTGAGTGTTTAAACTTGTTTCCTGAATAAACGTTCATCGCGACAGCGAGAACTTATTTAAAAGTAGTTTTGCCACGACAGTGGGAAATTAATTAAGGTACGAACCAACAAGCGACAGATGCGGCTAGGACCAGATAGTAAACACTAGGCATTTGTTTTAATAACAGCGAAAGCACTTTAAAATAGATTAGAACTTAGAGATTTCCAAAAAGCGATTTTAACCCCGAACGGGATAGCGACAGCATACGTTCCGCCTTAAAGTTGCGACTAGCGTCAACAACCATCGTGAGACGAAGGTCTTTAGATCACTATATTTATTCTTAAATAAATTCTGAAAATATTTTATATACCGGTAACTTGTCAAATCCCCGAAGAACAAAATTATTGCATATCGATTCGCGTAATTATAATTTAAGTAACGCTTTTAGTTCCCTTTAGTAATATCAATTATTCCCTTAAACATTATCTACCTAGCTAAACATAGTAACTCCCGAGAACACTAGTTTGATTACGAGTCCTTGTGGGATCAATATCTTTTATTACTACGCGATAGACTGTGCACTTGCTGTTAAGTTGTATTAGACATAGAAAATCGCGATCAAGTTTTTGGCGCCGTTGCCGGGGACCCGTTTAGTCAATAGTGTAACCTTCTGTTACGCCGTATAGACTAGGTTGACTATTTTTATTTTCCCTTTACTGATTCTGTCGATTGTATGCCAAGTAATCGCCCACAAGGAGATATCTTAAAACCTTCAGTCGCAGAACTAGAGCGCTTCTTACATTTAAGAAGTCGCATCATTGAGTACCAACAAAAACATAACATTCCCGATCCTCTCACTGACATTCCCAAATCTGAAGAAGAACCAAAGATGGCTGAAGGACCTCAAAACAAACCGCTGAAGGCATATGCTACACCCTCTCAGATGGAGCCTAGAAGTAGCATTGCTGCCCCAGCTATTACTCGAAATGATTTTGAGCTGAAACCGTCACTGCTGTCAGCTGTAAAACAAAACCAATTCTCAGGAAATGCAACTGAGGATCCAAACGAACATTTAACGAAGTTTGTACAATACGCAGACACAGTGAAAGCAAATGGAGTAACTCCAGACGCAATAAGACTTCGTCTTTTCCCTTTCTCTCTTAGAGATAGAGCGTGGACATGGTTACAATCCTTACCATCCAACTCCGTTACGACGTGGGAACAGTTGAATAACGTCTTCTTAGCGAGATATTTTCCGCCAAGCAAAACTGCTATGCTTAGAGCTCAAATCAACGGATTTCGACAAAAAAAAACTGAATCTCTCTACGAAGCGTGGAAAAGGTTCAAAGATATGATGAGAACATGTCCTCACCACGGTCTAGAAGACTGGGTGACGATCCATACTTTATATAATGGGCTTTTATACAACACCAGATTAACGGTAGACGCCGCCGCGGGCGGTGCACTTATGGATAAGCCATACGACGAAGTCTATCAACTAATCGAAAACATGTCTCAGAACCACTGCCAATGGGGAGGTGAACGCATTCCAATAGAGAAACCCGCAGCGAAAGGTGGGATATACGAGATCAGCAACTTTGAAAAGTTCAACGCTAAAGTAGATGCTCTAGCACAGAAAATTGACAGTCTGACCGCTAACTCCACTGCAACCGTCGCTGTCGTAACTCCAAACTGCGAGTTATGCGGAATCGCCACTCATAATGCGCCCGAATGCCCATTGGTGACCGGAATCCCACCAGACCAAGTAAATTATGCTCAAGGAAATCCTTACGCAAATACCTACAACCCAGGTTGGCAAAACCATCCAAACTTTTCTTACAAAAGCGATAATGCATTGCAGATGCCTGCTGCTCCGCCAGGATATCAGAAACCAGCTGCTCCCCAGACTGCCCCTAGGA